AATCAGAACCCTGTTTTCATTATAAATTATTTTTCTTTTTTTTTTAAATACTTTTTCTTGTTGGCCAATGCATGAATCTTATAGGTGAAATTTTTGGAGATTTTGTCTCGAATTAATCAATGGATTAGATTTGAATAATTTAATAGACAATTTTATGATCGGATTAGATATAAAATTCAAAATTAAAAAACTTAAAATATATTAAATATTATTAAAGTTAATACCAAATATATATAATTCTAAAAATTAAAGGACTTAAAGTATAATTAATGAGAAAAACATGAATTATTTATCGATCCATCCATGTTTATTCTAGGCATGTTCATATGTTTATTTTATTATTTTAATACATATAGACCATAAATGCATGCCAAACATGCATTTAAAACACTTTGTCCTAAGTTGAATTTTCCTTTTTCATGTGGGGAATATATATATATGGTGGTGGTGGAAGAGATATCCTATCAAATTATAGGTCACAAAATGCAATTATAAGGGTATGGGTCCTAAAAAATAATGATCCCCAAAGGGTCCCCACTAGGGTGGTGGTGGTAGACAATCATATTCCATATGTTTTCTTTCATAATTATATTGTCCTTATCATTTTTAATCCTAACGTTTATTTCCATGACTTTTCTAAGAGTAAAAGTAAAAATTATAAAAATGAAAATAAAAAATCAACCTAACTCGACCAATTTAGTAAATTTGAATAACATTGTAAGTACTTTTCAAATAAGGCATGTCCTCTCCAATGGAGTTAGGTATCAAGACATTAGATGCACTATCGACCAGCACGTAGTGAATGGTTACCCAAGTTTCTTTGCCCAGTATTCTACACCTCACGTTCATGATATCTCTATTTCAGCTCGGCTTTGGAGACATGAGGATGCACTAATAACCAGCACACAGTGAATGGTTGCTTAAGTTTTTCGACCAAATATCCTACATCTAGTGTTCATGATATCTATATTCCATTGTGTCTCGTAGACATGGTTGAAGCACACCCAATATATTTCTTCCACAACATGCTCTAGATTTGGGTATCTTCCATAAATTGCATAGATTAACAAATAAGGTATCGGTGGTGAACGTTAGATTCTTTTTCGGTCCCATGAGCTCCCATTAGCATGGTGTCTTTTAACCCTTTTGTTTGTTTGCTTTATGTCGTTTGACAAAGTGAAAAGAAAGAAAAGACGATGATGATTTATTTGGCTAAGTGCCGAAAGGAAAAATAATCCACTTTTTCATGTTGGCCTCTTATGTAAGCTTTGTTTATTTTATTCTCCCCTCCCTTTTATTTATTTATTTATTTATATATTTATATATTTATATCTCCAAAAAGGTGGAAAATATATTCCTCTATTTAAATAAAAAAACAAAAAATTAATGTCTTTATGTCCTAGATTTTAGGGATACGGCCCAAAACTAAAAGACTAATAATTTTTATAAATTTTAATCACATTTCTTAATTATTCATATTTTTTAATTAAAAATTTATTTTTTAAAAAATTCAGATTTGAGCAAGATATGTTATAAAATATTAAAAAGAAAAAAAAAACTAACTTTTTAAAAAAGAAACAAACTTTCCATTTAGTAATGATTCATTGTGTTTTTATTTTTTAAAAATAGTTATTTTTGGCTCTTTGAAGAAAATATAAATTAATCTTAAATTTCATTAATTAATCAATAATTAGAATATATAATTAAAAACCACAGCCACAATAAATAGGTTTAACTATCAAATCAATTCTTTTGGTGGAAATTATATATTAAAAAAAATAAAAAAATGGGAATTTTTTTATTATTAAATAGTTTACTTTGTAAGAAAAAAGTTTAAATGGGTGTGAATGGTAATTAGTAAAAAGTATGAGGACCTGAGTGATATTATGAAATTCTTGATTGACAATAACGAAACAAAAGATATCAAGTTTTACAGAGTTTGAAAATGGCTTCTAATCGTCAAGCGAAATAACGACCTTTTCCCGCTCTTCCTGTTCTTATTTTGTTTCTTTGATTGCACAGTTTCGAATGGATTTTGACTTTTCCGTCAAGAGATTGCTGATTTTCCTCCCCCTTTATCGCGCTTGTTTGCCTGCTCAAACAGGGCAGAAATGATCACAGGGGGAGGAAAAAGGAAGAACCCCAGAAAGAAGGCATGAAATTAGTGAATCTAGTAAGGTTTGATGGGATTTCAAACAGTTTATGGCGCGTTAATCAAAGCATTGTCCCACCCATAAGGCCCCATTGCCTTTGGACAATTGCAATCTAGTGATTTTCAAGAATGCACGCCAACTGTTCGACGAAAATGGCCAAAGAGGAGTTTCTTCTACTTTCTCCCATTGGATCTCTTTACTCCCTTTGTTTCCCAAACCCCACCATCCTTTTCTCCCTACTGACCTCCACTTTGCTCTCCATTGCAACATGCTGCAGCTCCAGCAACAGATGTCTCTCGCCAAGTCAGTGCGCCACAGATGCAACGAATGGTTCGTTTGTTTGTTGTCTTTGATGATCTTTTGGCTTGTGTTCTTGTCATTAATCTGCTCTTGAATTCATGTTAGTTTAGTTTTGGTGCAGTTCTATGTACTAGTTGTGGTGTAATGCTGCCGTTTGGTCATTGTTCTTTTTTACTTTCTGGCATTCTAGCTGTGCAAGATCTCTGTCGTTTGGTCTAGATGGTTTGTTCTAATTGCCAACACAACATTAGGATCATCCCCTTCATTTTATGTCGACTCCGGCCCGAGCTGGCTGTGCCATGAATTTTGAATGTTTTGATGAGTCGATCTTGTTGTGCTGGTTTTCGGTCGAGCTGGAGTTTTTCGTGCAAGCTTGTTCTTTCCTGTTTTGGATTGGTGTATCGTTTGGCTAGTTCTTTGTGTTTCAAAATGATCTATACGCTTCTCTGATTGACAGTATTTTGGCTTTGCAATGTTCTTTACTTTAGTGGATTGAAGTATCTGGATGGAAATTGATGATGATTATCATTCTCGTTGAGTACAAATATTTCTTCTTGTGAATCATTGGCTACTGATTCGTGTAGGATTTTTCATGATATTCCAAGCGATATTACGATTGATGTGGCTGGAGTGACATTCTCCTTGCATAAGGTGACACTAACAACTTGAGCTCCAACTACTTGATAAAGATTTCATTTTTAGTTTTCTTAAATAAACATTTGAATTCTTCGTCAAATTTCTGTCATGAATACGTTCCCATTGAATATCTTGAACACATTCCCTATGAATATCTGGTTTAATTCAACTACTAATGCAGTTCCCTCTCGTCTCTCGAAGTGGGCGAATTCGGAGATTAGTTGCAGAACATAGAGACTCTGATATCTCCAAGGTGGAGCTTCTCAATCTACCAGGAGGAGCTGAATCTTTCGAACTGGCAGCAAAATTTTGTTATGGGATCAACTTCGAAATTACTCCAGGAAATGTTGCACAGCTATGTTGCGTTTCCGATTATCTTGAAATGACTGAAGAGTTCTCGAAGGATAATCTCGGTTCGCGAGCTGAAGAGTATCTCGAGAGCGTTGTCTCGAAGAACCTTGAAATGTGTGTTGAAGTGTTGCAGCAATATGAGAATTTACTCCCTCTTGCCAATGATGTAAGAGTAGTTAGCCGTTGCATTGATGCAATAGCATCAAAGGCTTGTTCAGAGCAAATCGCTTCAAGCTTCTCACGCTTGGAGTATAGCAGTTCAGGGAGACTTCACATGAGCAAGCAGGCCGCCAAGTCTGATAGTGACTGGTGGATCGAAGATATCTCGGTGCTTCGTGTTGACTTGTATGAACGAGTCATTACAGCCATGAAGTGTCGAGGGGTTCGTCCCGAGAGCATAGCTGCATCCCTGATGAATTATGCTCAAAGGGAGTTAACAAAGAAATCCACCTTATGGAACCCATCTGGGCAGACAAAAGTTGATATCATTTCAGGTTCAAATGGACAAGAAAAGCTTGTTGTTGAGACAATTGTCAGTCTTTTGCCTGTTGAAAAATCTGTCGTTCCAATCAGTTTCCTTTTTGGGCTTCTGAGGAGTGCTGTGATGCTTGATTGCTCTGTTGCCTTCCGACTCGACCTCGAGAGAAGGATCGGATCCCAGCTGGACATTGCTACTCTTGATGACCTTCTGATTCCATCCTTCAAAAACTCAGCTGATACTTTATTTGACGTTGACACAGTTCATAGGATTTTGGTAAACTTCTCTCAACAAGATGATAGCCAGGACGATATGGAAGACGCTTCTGTTTTCGATTCGGATAGTCCTTGTTCGCCATCTCAAAGTTCATTGTTTAAAGTGTCCAAACTAGTGGACAACTACCTTGCTGAAATTGCCCCTGATGCAAACCTTAACCTTTCCAAGTTCATGCTAATTGCAGATTCCTTACCTTCACATGCACGTACCATCCACGATGGTTTATATCGAGCCATCGATATCTATCTTAAAGTACGTATGTACGTTTCGTATGTTCTAAGACATTTTTATTTTGATTGATTGACTTATTGTTGCTTTACCACAGGCTCATCAAGGTCTATCAGATTTAGACAAGAAGAAGCTCTGCAAACTAATCGATTTTCAAAAGCTCTCACAAGAGGCTGGTGCTCATGCTGCTCAAAATGAGCGTCTTCCCCTCCAATGCATGGTTCAAGTCCTGTATTTTGAGCAACTAAGGCTTCGTACTGCACTATCGAACTCTTGCGACGATGAAGACTACAAACCTTCACATCAATCATGGCGGATTAGCAGTGGAGCATTGAGTGCAGCAATGTCTCCACGAGACAATTATGCATCACTGAGACGAGAAAACCGTGAACTAAAACTTGAACTCGCTCGCCTACGGATGAGATTGAATGATCTCGAAAAAGAACATGTTTGTATGAGGAGGGACATGCAGAAGTCTAGTTCTCATAAACTTGTGAGTTCTTTCTCGAGAAAATTTAGTAAAATGAACTTCTTTGGGCATAGCTCTTCGAGGGGTTCGAGTTCCCCATCGAAACATTCGCAGAGGACAGTTTCAAAAGTGATTGAAAGAACATGTACAAGTGCAGAATAGTTCCAATTTACATCACACAGTACAATGCAGAGTCCCTTTTCTTTGTTGAACAAATGCAAGTTCTTTTCTCTTCTCTTTGGAGAATAATTCAGTCTACTTGTAATTCGTAAATGAAGAACATTGCCAAGAACTACTCTTTATTGATAATGTTTTTGGTAAGTAAACATTATATAACAGAGGAAGTTGAAACATTTTTCAGCGGCATCATATAACAAGTTTCAAGCATAGTACACTCATTGGAACAAAATATACCAATTTTTTCAAAAAAAAAAATGGATACAGTTTCAGTGTTCATGTTGTTTTGGTATAGAGATGGATGCCAAAAGCCAATGCCAAAATTACCAGGGGAGCTAGAAACTGGAGGACCTTGATAATGAACTCTGGTGTCTTGTCTTGGTTGTATAGGGGCTGCTTTGGAGGAGTGTACTTCCTTTTTGTAGGGATAGTTGAGCTATCGATGTCGCCTACGTAAAATTCTTCCATCATCGCTCGAGCAGTGCTACTGTGCCCGACATCGAAAAAATCATTGGTTGCATCCTTACCTGTAGATGATATGAAGAACCAATATTGGTATCTCAAACATTATGTTCAGTTCATTTGACAAAGCTTATTAAGAATATATTTCAATGAAGAATTTTCGTTGCTTGTTTTTCCCTACCAATGGCTGACAACAAGACTTCATCACCACCAGGATGGTCTTCAAGGAACTTTGTTACATCGTACACCTGTTGGACCAATAACACGCAGAATTGAAAAACAAATAGGAATGAAGAGAGGGGGAGGGGACAGAGAGATTCTACCTTGATTGGAGAGGAGAACGAAACCTTTTTTGTAAGGGCGTGGAAACCTCTCTTTTAAAAACTCAAGGAAGAAACTCAAAAAGAACAATATACGTTAACGATGGACTTGGACTGTTACAAATGGTATCAGAGCCAGCACTGGACAATGTGCTAGCAAGGAGGTTGAGCCCCAAAGGGGATGGACACGAGGCGGTGTGCCAACAAGGACGCTAGGCCGCAAAAGGGGGTGGATTGGAGGGTCCCACATCATTCGGAGAAGGAAACGAATGCCAATGAGCACACTGCACCCCGAAGGGGGATGAATTGTAAGATCTCATGTCGGTTGGGGAGGAAAATGAAACAATCTTTATAAGGGTATGGAAAACCTCTCCCTAGTAAGCGCGTTTTAAAAATCTTGAAGGAAAAACTCAAATATGACAATATATGCTAGCGGTTGGCTAGAACTATTACAGGTACTCCTATCCAAATAATAAAAATAAAAGAATCGAATCTAGTAGAGAAAATTACATTTCCTAAATGTTAAAAAGACATGTAATTGTGTTTGATTGAACAGATAAATAAATTACAAATTCAGTGACAAATCGTTTACATACACCAAACTTCGATTCGTAAGCCCAATTCAGATCAAACAATACACAGAAGAGCACTAGTGCCATCCATGAAACTCAATCAGTCAAAGCAAATAGACTCAATGAATCTTTAACACTTCAGCAACGTCAAATTGTATTTTCTATAGATTTCATCCTTAACCAAATTCCAAAAACAAATACTATTCTTTTAGTCTGCGAAAAGAGTAAACACAAAACAAGAAGTATTTATATGCATAGATTTCAAGATCAAACAGAAAATGAAAGCCATGTAAAGAATTTGAAACCACATTGAGCCACAGAGACAAATGATCAAATACCTTGTCCTCAATGATCAACCAGCAGTCGTTGCGGTTGTCGTGGGAGGCAACCTCAGCCAAAGTGAACAAGGTGCTACCAACCATCGTCGCAGCTTGGAAGAGGGAGAGAGATAGAGATAGAGATAGAGAAGTTTGTGTAATCTGGCAGTGGCAGACAATTCTTTCCTGTTTTCCTCTTGCACCAAAAGGGCTCTGTTTCTTGAGGTTTTGAAGGGAAGTGGAAAGTGGGGTTGTTGTGATCATGAATCTTAACATTGATTTTATTCCCTATTGATCGATGGGTAGGTAAGAGGCTGATACAATGCCATTCTCATACCAACCATTCCTCTCTTTTTTCTTCCTTTATTTGCTTCTTAAGTTTTCTAAGTGTGCTTACCCACAATTCAAAACTATTTTACTCGCACTTTCTAAGCCTACCGCTAGTAGATATTATCCGTTTTAACCCCTTATGTATAGTTGTCAACCACACAGTTTTAAAACGCATCTACTAGGGAGAGATTTCCACATCTTTATAAGAAATGTTTCGTTCTCCTCTTCAACCAATATGGGATCTCACAATCCACCCCTCTTGGGGTCAGCGTCGTTGCTGGCACACCGCCCGGTGTGGCTCTGATACAATTTGTAATAGTTCAAGCTCACCGCTAAAAGATATTATCCGCTTTGGTCCGTGGTCCGTTACGTATCGTCGTCAGCCTCTCGATTTTAAAACAAGTCTGTTGGAGAGAAGTTTCCACATCCTTCTGAGGAATGCTTCGTTCCCCTCTCCAATCGAGGTGAGATCTTACAATTAACCTTCCAACGTTTCAAAACTATTCTTGGAGTAGAAATCCATTAGAATATTGAACAAAAAGTTCGTTTTCCTTCAACATTCTAACAGCATTTCTACTCCAAAAATAGTTTTAAACATTTATAAAGAAAGAAAGTAATGGTGTTACTCAAATTGATATTGATATCAAACATTGAAACACTATTGAATTCAATGATATTTTCAACCAAGCCCACCAACCTAGTGGGGTAGTGAATGTGGGTGTCTTAAACAAATGTTAGGCTTCCTAGTCTTTGCCAGTATAGATTAATAGAATTTAATTTATGATTCAAATAACATGCCATAAAGTATAAACATTGGCACCTATAAATCATTTATTAATCTCACTTATTTACTAAATAATACTAAACTTTTCAATAACTAATGAATTCATAGTTAATGATATATTAACTATGGTAAATTTTTTAATTTTTCAAATGTGATCAACCTTTTTCAATCACCAATAAACTAATGAAATTAAATTTTGAAAATACAAAAAAAAAAAAAAAAAAAAAAAAAAAAAAAAAAAAAAAAAAAAAAAAAAAAAAAAAAAAAAAAAAAAAAAAAAAAAAAAAAAAAAAAAAAAAAAAAAAAAAAAAAAAAAA